GAGATCTTCTAAGGCTGGGAACTCTGGGAAGCCAGGGTAGGTTGTCCTAGCCGGAAAGAATGAATCCATTCCTCTAATGTGAACCAAATGTTCCAATCCTCCATGTGGGTCACTGTTCCGAATCTCTAGCACAGATGATGAATCCCCTGCATTTCATAGTAGCATCTCTTTGTAGAGGGCATAGTCTCTTTGTAAAGGGCATATACTCCCCATGGAATATAAATTCCCCTTACTCTACAGCTCTGTTTTCCAGGCTGGGAACTGGAAGCTGGTCATGAAAAACTCTCCCTCCTCTATTTGTGTTGGCCATCAGAGTGAGTTTGTAATCCAAGGATTGGGTTATTTGCAAATGCTCTTTGTAGCTCTGCCTCTTTTTCTGGAATCCAGTAGAAACTGAAGTGAGTGGATGGAAGTCTTGCGTGTCAATTCTCACTGAAAGGATCACGAGAAGCTCCCAGGCAGCTAAGTTGGCACAATACCCATGGAGCTGTTTTGCCCAGGTTGCACCAATGTGAGCATATGGTTCACCCCGCCAGATGATGGTGCGTGAACTGTAGACTCATATAGACTCTATTTCTTTAGGCTCACCATTCTATCCAAACGTTACAAGCAAGGGTGAGGACATGCTAGTCTTGCTAAGCTTGTCTTCCAACAGGAACAGTCTTCTAAACAGCCGGTTAGCGAGGCTGCTCTGAATGTGAGCCGCATGTGCTGTTAGTGATGCTGATAGCTTTGTCTATGCTGCCATCCGACGTGGCAATGGAAATGGAGGGGTGTGGAAGTGCACAAGGTGGCACTCAGGTGGTGGATGCCCATGCCGGGAGAAGGATAGATTTTTGAGCATCGTCAATGTGTTAAGATCAGTGTTAGATGCTGAGAGAGTGAAATAAATAATAGTTGGACCGTGATTTTTTAGAGCTTCTTATTTAGTTATCAGGTAGGGTTTGTGGTGCAGAAATCACATAAAATAATTAAAAATATATGATAAGCATGCTATTATAGAGATGTAGTCAAAGTAAATAGGCACACACAAGGACATGCAACTAAGGTGTGCTTAAAAAAAAAGATTTTTCAGAACACAAAGGCGATATTTGAAGTGGGTCTTCATGCACAAGCAGGAGAATTCTAAGTGAAATTCCTAAGAAAACTTTATCAGATGCAAGAAAACATGACCTGTTTTGAAAAACAGAGGAGGGTATTTAGGGAACTGAATGACTCAAGGCCAGAAGGGTGTGTGTGTGTGTGTGTGTGTGTGTGCATGTGAAAGGGCTCTCATGTTTTTCCACAAATATGCATATATATGTATGATTCCAGGTGTGGAGATGGCCCTGAGGAAGATGAAAGAGATAGGAGCATGACTGACCCTGCATCTATAAAGGAGATTAGCATCAAGTTGTCCGGAATGAGAAATCTGGTTTTCTCCTGTAGGAGATGTCGAATCAGAATTTCTTGCAACAGGGAAGTGTCCCAAACAGCAAAGGGCTTCCTTCCTTTGGGAAATCGCTGTGCGACAAGACAGTCTACCAACAGAAGAACTAAGGAGGAAATCCCCATGCTCGTCCACCAAAAAAGATGCACAGGGAGAGGATAGGCTTCCATTATTCCCACTAGTCCTACCCCTGACATGCCCAGTCCAAGACAACAGCTGGTTTAGGAGGAGGGGATCTGACCCCAGTATCACCTCTCCAGACTCACAGCCCCTCTGCAAGCTTTGAACCACATCTGCTTCCCATTAGAATCTACAACTCCCTAGCATTCTTGAGTAATCTCACTTGGCCAAGTATGAGGTCTTTAGAACACGTCTCTCAGAACAATTTACCATAGCGGTTTGGCCAGGAAGAAGTATGTCTGGCTGTGTTGGACTTGCACTGGCTCAGACTATCTGGAGTTGACTTCCCGGCGAATCCACCCTACCCCTAGGCTGAAGATTGGTGAGGTGTGACACAGGAGAGCGTGCAGTTCGGATGGGAGGAGAGGTAGTCTGTTCTCTTTCTCCATCTCCAACTGCCTCCAAGACTCTCACTACTTTCACTTTTCTGCAAAACACTTAATGATCCTCCAATCATCCTGAACCTTGTAGTCCAAGCTCTCGGCCACCAATGGACCTTTTCAACAGTTGTTTCCACTTCTTAACATGCTATGTCACTCCATTTAGCCTGACAACCCCAGCACATTCTTCAAGATCACCTACCTCTCCTACCTTTGGGTAGACGTTTGTTTCACCACTGTCATCGCCATTAGATTAGGGATTTCTGTATGTATGGTTCTAGCCCTGGCTCTATAATAGCATGTAGCCCTACATGAACATGAAGTTCTTTATTGCTCCTCCCTCATTCCAGGTTGTGAGGACCTTGACCGGACACGGTGAGTCTTTTTCTTTCTACCTGATCCATTGGCGAACTGCATGACATATACTCCAACCTGCCTCCACAGCAAGTAATACTAAGACCAGCAATAAAATCATATCCCTTGAGCCAATTCTGACTAATAGGCATCTTATAGGTCGGAGCAAAACGGTTTCATCATGTTTCTAAGGCTGTAATCTCCATAAAAGAAGATTGTCAGGTCTTTTTCTGTGGACCATATGGCAGATTTGAACTTTCCAGAGTGACCAGTGCTTTAAGCAACATGCCATCAGAGTTTCTCGCAGGATACATGGTAAGCAATTGCTTCACAGATACTTGTTGCATATATGAATCAATCCAAATTCCAGTTTCCCGGCTTTCAAATTTTTTGAGCATGCCACATAAACATGTTGCCTAACCTCATCTCTTTCTCTCAGGATCAAGGGAGATGACTGTAATCTTATTATATAATTAAACTGGAATTTAAGTGCTAACTAATGACCATGAGTTAGTATTCTCCTTCCAACCCCAGCATTGACATTTTCATCAAATTTATCTTCATGATTCTTCAAATCAATGAGTAAACAAAAGGGCACTCCTCTCTGCTTTGTTTAAGCATGAAAAGAGGGACTATCCAAGAAGTCCAGGACCTGGTCTCTTGGGCTTTGGAGACAGCCTTTGTTATGACCATCAGACCCCTCTAGTACGGTACGGAAACCGTAGTGCCTTGATACAAATGATGAAGGTGCAATCTCTAAACTGCCGCAGACACTTTGAAAAGAAGGACTGTCAAGAGAGCGTCCTCACTCTGAATTGCCCACCTAAATTGAAACACCGAAGGCTTGGGGACAAATGGTGGCAAAGTGTTGTTTGATGCCCTTTTGGTGGTCTGGAGGAATCATTTTTTCTTAAAAGTTATTCTAATATTCCCAAAATCCCCTTACTGCTGGTTGGTATTATCAGGATAGAATTCCCTACTATGGATGATTTATCTTTCCCTGGGTACTAACTTTTCAAACTTTCTAACCGGACATATCTCAAATGAGGTCCTCATTTTAAAGCCTTTTGTGTAATTATTTATTTTCATGGGACTACTTTCTGGGCAGAGAGATTGTGCAAAAATTGTGCAAAAAACCTAGTGGGTTTTTTTTTTTTGAAAGACAGCGCTTTCTTCTTTTTCTTTCTTGCTGTTCGTTGGGATGTACCTGTAAAGGAGGATGCTTCAGCAGTCATCCTGAACCATAGTGGAAGCAACCAAGGGGGGTGCCACAAAGCAAATTCTTCTAGTCTCACCTACCTCTAGCTGGAATTTTGCACGAAGGGGAAAGAGACTAGAAGGAATTTGCTCTTGTGATGGTGTCTCTTTTTTAACCCCCAAGCCTAATTCTAATGACGTGCACTTGACCTCTGAAAAGACCTAGCTCTAACCTGATGCGTCATTCCATGCCTTTACCCACTCTTTGTCTGTTCCCCACCTCTCTTCTGATCCTTTCTTCATGGCCCCGGTAGTGCTAGCCACAAAATGTCAGAAGCCAGTTCCCACTGTAGGCTGAAGGATCTGTCTCCAATTTTATTTTTTTTAAAACCATACAAACTTTCTAGAGTCTGCTCCTAAGTAACTTATTTTCCAGATGCCTCCCCTCCCAGACAGTAAGAAGGCACTCCCAGAACATGAGTTTTTGGAACGCCTAGAACACTTGCCTAGAATGCTATTATTTGTCTTAAGGAAAACAGGCAAACATTATTGAGTATCTACTATATGCAAAGCTACATACTTTCATATCTTATCCCATTTACTTTTCACAATGATTTTTTCCATGAAGATAAAATTATCACCATGGCCTATAAAAGTGACCTAGGGTCTGGAAGATTTAATTTCTTGCCTAAGCTATCATAATGCTAAACCCCAGATTTGACCCCGCATCTAAATGTGATTCATTCTAAAATGACTCAGTGTCCCACTGGGTCCTGCTGCCCCCCCAGCATTGTGGTTTGTAAGACTTTCATGTTCATAATGACCGGTGAGCATGTCTTGTTCAGTCTTGTTCAGGCCCAAACTGAATTTGTCAGTGGAATATGAAAATCAGATTATACTGTTAAAAATAGACCAAGGATGTTGTTCACAATTATTTGATTCCACAGCTTTTCTTGTTCAATCATCCAGCCACGGATGGCCCTGTCAAGATTTCCCAGTTTCAGTGTGGCCCATGGTTTGTATTGGAAGCACAGATTGTACAGGAGGGAGTTAGTTAACAGTTCTCATCCATTTAAGTCCAACATAGCATATGGAACAATTTAACAATTGATTCAAAGTCTGGCTCAGAAGCCAAGAGGAAAGCCTATCTTCACTCGGCTTCCGTGTCAAACCCAGAAACAATTGAGAGGGGCCCCACGGAAATCTTACGAATATTCCACTCGGATCAGTTCTCCTAGGCAGCTCCCAGGGACTCCAGGGACCATTTAACAAATGCACAATGGTATGATTATGGAGTTGCCTGCTGGAACCTATAAAGCAATCTGGAAATGGGGTGATTGAGCCTACAGGGGTCTGCTTTCTGTATGGGCATATGCAAATGTAGCACTCTGATGGTTGAGAAGCAGTGCCACAGCTACTAATACAATGGTTGGAGACGAATGACTGGCCCTGAACCTCAGTTATTTTCCGCCCTATCCTGTTCCCTCATCTTCCTCCTCCTCCTCCTCGTTGAAGGTACATTCCTGGATCTGCCGGTCCAGCTCCACGAGGCTGTCTTCCTGTCCTAAGCGACTGTCTGTTTGGTAATCAATCTCCTCCAAGCAAGGCGGTTCATCCTCCAGGTCTGCGGCAATGCTGCTGCTGCTGCTGCTGCATCTTCCATGAGTTCCCAAAAGACATACAAAAAAGGAAAGGAGCAGGGAGGGAGAAAGGGAAAAGAGAGAGAGAGGGAGGAAGGGAAAGAGAGAAAGGAGAGAGACATGAAATAAGAAGTTAACCAACTAAAAGAAAGAATGGACATTCGCGATTGGTTCAAACAGGAAGGGAGGCATTATCTTCTTTGGATTTTCATCTTAGGAATGACTGATCTTTAACGGCATTGCATGCATAGTCCTGTCTTCTCAAGCACTACCTTGAGGATAGTGGTGGGTGTGGGGGTGGCGTGACTGTCAAATCTGGGAGAATTTCTTCTTTCCTTACCAACAGAGTATACACTTCCAATCTCAGAAGACTTGAGAAATTGCATATATTTATGATTTTCAGGGTTGATTAGATCTAAAGTGGACAATCAGAGAACGCTTAAACTGAGAGTCTGAGAATGTCTAATCCCAGGAAAAAGGGTGGTACATGGGACCACGATCCTAAATGTTTTTCATGTGCTCAACAGTGATGTGGAACATACTGGTTCACTCTTCTTCCGCATGAATATGCTGTAGTTTGAAAATTAGCCCCTGGGAAATTAATAAGTGAGAAGGTAGGGGAGAAATAGCACTATGTCTACTACAGTAGTGTATCCCTGCTATTTCCTCTCTCTACCCACAGGTAATTAAGATACAGAAGATCTGCAGGGTTTGACTCACAAGATATAGAACAGGGCAGTCGGAATGGACAACAAACATTTGCTAAGTATTGTGAGCTGGGAAAATATTCTCCTAAGGAGTTGTATATCTTCCTCATTTGTATGAGACGTCTTCTTTCCTGAAGACTCTCTAATCACTCCCTACTTAGGACCTAACCAATTAGGATTAGCAGCATGCTGGGTTTCTACTCTGATTTATAGAAGGCAAGTACTTCATAAATCAGGCTGAGTCGTTCATCCACCTGCTTCGCCATAAACAATGAAAATAGGTAATCAGCAGCATGGTCCTATGTTAGCTTGGGAAATGAATCAGAGGCTAGTTTCTTAATTGTCTACTGGCTGATGTGAACCACTCCCATGCTCGCCAGGCCCTCAGTACCCTAAACGGAAGTTCTGATGGGATATTGCTGTGTGGAGAAAGAGTGGAAGAAATATGCATTTTGTTCTTTGAGCCCTGAGGCATCCTGGCGGTGGAGTCCAGAAAGCATTCAGCTGCTAGCCCAAATATTCGTGATTTGAAGCCACCCATCACTGCCTCAAAGAGACCTGTGGCAGTCTGCTTTGGTAACCATTTACAGCACTGTTAAAACTCTGAGGCTGTTCTACACTCGTGGCATGAGCTATGAGTCACAATCAACTCAAAGGCTCTGGGCTAGGTGACTTTCTTTTGGGGAGGGCGGACATGTCAGAGACCCATCACATGTAATATATACTACAAGTATATTTTACAGGGTGGATTCTGAGCACTAAATTAGTTGATCAAACAAATCCAAGAACTAGCCCAGCTGCCCCAGCTGTCACATAAGTTTAATCAGCAAGAGCACCGAGTGCTTGCAATTTAATTGTCACCATGCTAGGTAACAATGGTTTGCAATGTCAAGAGACTGAGTTAATGTCACAGTTACGGACTTTGGCATGAAATCTGTGTCTTATAGAATGGGAATGATATTACCTCGAGTGTGGCAAGTAAATACTATGAAAAAGGAGGAATATTTCTTATTCTTATTCAAAAGTGACTTGCAAAATAAGGGTAATCAAAGCGTTTTAATTCGGTGTGGGGGTGGGGGGCTGTGCCTTATAGAGAAGATGGTGACGTGCAATGTTGAACAGGAACAACTTAGGTCTGTAGGGTGCCTGCACTCTCTATTGCAAAACCATCCGCATTGACATTGCTCACCGTTTCGCTAAAGCATCATTGTTATAAGTCACGAGCTCACAATGCTAGTTTCCTGCTATTTTACCACAATGTGGATATTGATGGATAGGGCTTCTCGTCCACTTGTCAGGAGGAGCGAACAAGACCAGCCTTTTCTCCTACCATGGAATCTGCTCCAACCACAGTCTTGGATTTTCATCATGAGAATCAAGCTGTCAGACTGGGTTCTGAATGTATTTCTATGTGTGCTGTTCAATCATAGCAAAGTAAATGTTTAAAAAAGTGTTTTTCGTGCAATCTCATAGATCTATAATAATCATAATCCCTCTCTATCCAACCAAATAATCATATAATTGAAAAAAAACACCCTTCATTTCCACATAAATTTGGTAACTCAATTTTTTACTTATATATTCTCTTTTTAAAATTAATGTCTATACTACCCTTTTAATCTCTAAATGGCTATACTATTATTTTGAATAAAGTTGATAACTGTTATATTCATATTTTATTTGTTTTGTTGTCATTAGCTAATATCAAGTCAGTCCTTAACTCTGTAAGGTTTCTGTTTTTTTGGTCTGTAATCTTAACAGAAGCTGTTTTCTAAGTCTACCACAGAGATACTAGCTGAGCACATAGTAGGTATAGAATAAAGGATTGTCCAAGGGAAAATACATGTAACTGGCATATTATACAGAAAACTCTAGAATTGGCATCATCATTAGGAGAAAAATGCTTATATATTAGTTAAATCACAATTTTAATATGAGTCAACTGTAGTGAGCGAAAGTAACAAGTTTCCCTTTTCCATGTATAAATATTGAAAGGCATTAATGAAATATAAGAATTATGATGAATCAGGAAATTAAAATACATAATCAGCAACTTTCCATTCCTGGAAAAATAAAATAGAAATATTTCTACCATTAAGTACAATCCAAAGCACTGGATATCATGCATACAATTAAACATATGAAGACTTTAAAGGGTGGAATTAAAAAGACAGTTTAGATGATAATAGGATCGGAAGGAGCACGTATCAGTGAGTGCCCTGGATTTTATTTCTGCTTCATATCTTCCAGACTACACCGGAAAGGCCATCGACTTGGAAATACCAAGCACAGACAAAAAGAACCTCAACAAACGTATTTTCGTTAGTGACATGACAAGGTAGTGGGACTATTAAAAAGCTGCAAAGTTTTAGACTATGAAACATCTATATGAGCTAAGCTTCACAGAAAATGCAGCGGTCCGCGACACACAATTTTGCCAACAAAGACTCAGGCTGTTACAAGGCTGCCAGAAGCTCACTTCCTCTGAAGTGGTGTCTGGGAAGGTCATGGAGAAGGCCGGGCTTTTATCCACCTGGGCAAGAACTAGCCATGTATCAATGCCAGCCAAGTTAGATATGCACCCGATCTAGTTCTTTTCTTTACTCCTAAGTGGTTTC